ATATCTGCTCAATGACTTTAGAGAAGCTAATTACTATTTTAAACTAGCATTAAGATTCAAATATGTATTAGTCTCATATTATTCAAGGAAAAATTGAAGAAAAAGAAAGATATTCTAGAATGAATCAAAGTTCTAATGAAATAAATGATACATTTCAATTAAAAATTTTATGAATATTTATTCAATTGTTCTTGAAATCATTTTGAACTCTAACAAAAAAAATTATATTTTAAGTTTTATTTATCATTCATAAATCATTGCGACAATTATTTATTCAGATATAATTAAACTTATAATTGAAGCCAACCTTAATAGTTGTAGGATAGTTAGATTAACTATACTCATAATCATCAAGCTTAATTTCAAAAAATAAAATAAAATTAAGAACTATTATAAATTTTAATTTAATAAATAATCAATTTTCTTGCTCCTCATTATCATCAATATTTTATATTGAATAAAAAGCAGACTTGTTAATAAATGGATTCAGATTATGTTCTGAAATTTAAATTGTATCTTAACTTATTAAATTATTGATGTTGTAATTAATAGATTAAGCTTCAACTTAATGCTATTATTCTAATTAAATATTTGCTTATGCAAAATTATTTTATTTTTCTAACAAATATTCTATATAAATTAAAGCAAATTTAAACCTTTAGTAGTAGAATAAATAGATAATTCAGGATTCAATTAAATGGCTTTTTCTATAAATTTTAAGGCTTCTTAAAACTAATTCATACTACCTAAAGTTATTGCTGATTTTTAATAATTATATAAACCTTTATGATAATTTAATTTTGAATTATTGGAACTTCTTTCAATTGCGTAATTATAATATTCTAAAGCTTCCTAAAATTTATTAATTTGGTTTAATATATTTGCTTTTTAAACTCATATATTATATATACCTTTAATTGCATAACCTTGAAAATCCTCAGGATTTTTCTAAATAGCATAATCTAAGCATCCTAAAGCATCTAACAAATTATCCATTTTAGTTAAAATATTTGCTTTGTCTTAAAATAATGAATATACCTTTAATCAAGTGAAAGTCACTTTCATCAGGATTCCTTTAAATAGCGTAATCTATATGGTATAAAGCTTCTTATTATCTATTCATATCGCTTAAAGCAATTGCTAATATAATAACTAAAAAGGACCTTTGAAATAATATAATTTAGGGTTCTCTGGATTTTTCATAATAGCGATATCATATTAGTCTGAGGCTTCTTCTAATTTATTCAAACTTTCTAATAAAATTGCTATTACTATAACCAAAAATATTAACCTTTATAGCAATAGTTATCTGAGTCGTCAGGATTTTTATAAATTGCATTATCTATGCTCTCTAAAGCTTCTGAAAGAAGATTCAAACTTTTTAAAGTATTTGCTTGTATATTAATTTAACCACACCTTTATTATAATATAATTTAGAATCTTAAGAGTTTCTCAAAATAGCATAATCATAATATTCTAAGGCTTCTTAAAATCTACAAAGTCTTTGTAAAACATTTGCTAAAAATAATAAACTATTTGATTAACCTTTATCCAAATAATAATCTGATATTTCAGGATTTTCCTAAATAGCTCTTTCATAAAATGATAAAGCTTCTTCAAAGCGACCTATCTTAGTTAATGTTTTTGCTATTTATTTATTTTTAATTACACCTTTGTTATAATATAACTTCGAATCTGGTTTATTCATATTAATAGCATGGTCATATTATTCCAAAGCTTCTTCATAACGATTTAAATAGGTTAAGATTATTGCTAATTATCTAATTAATTAATTGAAACCTTTAATTGAGAAAAAATCTTGGATTTCTGAATTTCGATTAATAGCATCGTTTATAGCTTAAAGAGCTTCTTCAAAGCGATTCATATTAATTAATGAGTTTGCTTAATATATAAATGTCATTTGAAAACCTTTAGCATAAAATGGAGTATCATTATCTGGAACCATTTCATTTAAAAGAATGTAATATGACAAAGCTTCTTAAAATCGATTCATGTTATCTAAAGTATTTGCTACTCAAGTCAAATCAATATAACCTTTAAAATAATACGGTTTTTCATCCTAAGGAGCTTTCTAAATTGCATAATCATGAAATTTTAAAGCTTCTTCGAAACGTTCTAATGAATCTAATGTTTAAGCTATTATCAATAATTAATAATTTAAACCTTTCTAAGTATAATATTTAGATTATTCTGGATTTCTTTAAATAGCACAATCATAAAAATATAATGCTTATTCAAAACGATTCAAATTACACAAAACCTTTGCTATAAACTAATTTTTTGATATTTTAACCTTTTTTCTAATAATAAATAGATTGTTCAGGATTGCATTTAATAGCACATTCGTAATATTCTAAGGCTTCTTCATATCGATTCAAATCTTTTAGTAAATTTGCTTGAGAATTTTATGTATTCATACCTTTTGCATTAAATGTTTCTGCTTCTTCAGGAGCTTTTTGGATGGCTTGGTCAAAAGATTATAAAGCTTCTTCAAATTGATTCAAAAACTGTAATGTAAACCCTTTACAAGAAAATATAAATACAAACCTTTTTCACAATAATATTGCTGTTCTTCAGGATTTATTTCAATCGCTTTATCATAATATACTAATGCTTCTTGAAAAAGATCCATATCTGCTAAAATGCTAGCTAAGGAATTATTGATTACAAAAACCTTTTCTAAAATAATAAAAAGATTCTTTAGGATTTTTTTCAATAGCAAAATCTATTTATTCTAAAGCTTCCTCAAAACGACTCATATTTTCTAGTGTATATGCTTCAAATATAAAATTATTTCAACCTTTTTAGAAATAATAAGAAGAATTTTTCTGATTCTTCTCAATTGCTTAATCATAAGATTCCAATGCTTATTCAAAACAATTCAATTTTTCTAATGCAATTCCTAGGAATATTAAAGATGAAAAACCTTTTTAGTAATAATATTCTGAATTATTTGGATTTTCTTAAATGATAAGATCATAGATTTCTAAAGATTCCAATAAGCGATTCATTTATAGTAGATATTATTTTAAATTAATACTTTTAAAGTATTAGCTAAAATATAAATTTTGAATTAATCTACCTTTATGAAAATAGATATATTAATCTAAAGGATTTCTAAGTAAAGCATAATCATAATTTTTCAATGCTTCATCGTACCTCTTCATATTGTATANAAAAAATCTTGGATTTCTGAATTTCGATTAATAGCATCGTTTATAGCTTAAAGAGCTTCTTCAAAGCGATTCATATTAATTAATGAGTTTGCTTAATATATAAATGTCATTTGAAAACCTTTAGCATAAAATGGAGTATCATTATCTGGAACCATTTCATTTAAAAGAATGTAATATGACAAAGCTTCTTAAAATCGATTCATGTTATCTAAAGTATTTGCTACTCAAGTCAAATCAATATAACCTTTAAAATAATACGGTTTTTCATCCTAAGGAGCTTTCTAAATTGCATAATCATGAAATTTTAAAGCTTCTTCGAAACGTTCTAATGAATCCAATGTTTAAGCTATTATCAATAATTAATAATTTAAACCTTTCTAAGTATAATATTTAGATTATTCTGGATTTCTTTAAATAGCACAATCATAAAAATATAATGCTTATTCAAAACGATTCAAATTACATAAAACCTTTGCTATAAACTAATTTTTTGATATTTTAACCTTTTTTCTAATAATAAATAGATTGTTCAGGATTGCATTTAATAGCACATTCGTAATATTCTAAGGCTTCTTCATATCGATTCAAATCTTTTAGTAAATTTGCTTGAGAATTTTATGTATTCATACCTTTTGCATTAAATGTTTCTGCTTCTTCAGGAGCTTTTTGGATGGCTTGGTCAAAAGATTATAAAGCTTCTTCAAATTGATTCAAAAACTGTAATGTAAACCCTTTACAAGAAAATATAAATACAAACCTTTTTCACAATAATATTGCTGTTCTTCAGGATTTATTTCAATCGCTTTATCATAATATACTAATGCTTCTTGAAAAAGATCCATATCTGCTAAAATGCTAGCTAAGGAATTATTGATTACAAAAACCTTTTCTAAAATAATAAAAAGATTCTTTAGGATTTTTTTCAATAGCAAAATCTATTTATTCTAAAGCTTCCTCAAAACGACTCATATTTTCTAGTGTATATGCTTCAAATATAAAATTATTTCAACCTTTTTAGAAATAATAAGAAGAATTTTTCTGATTCTTCTCAATTGCTTAATCATAAGATTCCAATGCTTATTCAAAACAATTCAATTTTTCTAATGCAATTCCTAGGAATATTAAAGATGAAAAACCTTTTTAGTAATAATATTCTGAATTATTTGGATTTTCTTAAATGATAAGATCATAGATTTCTAAAGATTCCAATAAGCGATTCATTTATAGTAGATATTATTTTAAATTAATACTTTTAAAGTATTAGCTAAAATATAAATTTTGAATTAATCTACCTTTATGAAAATAGATATATTAATCTAAAGGATTTCTAAGTAAAGCATAATCATAATTTTTCAATGCTTCATCGTACCTCTTCATATTGTATATTGAAGGATTTAATAGATTTGATGAATAGAGTATTAGCTTATTGAAGAAATTATATACCTTTTCTGCTATATGTTTTACTTTCTTAAGGATTAATTTAAATAACGAAATCATAATATTGTAATGCTTCTTCATGTCGAAACATATTGTTTAAGACGTTTGCTATTAAAATAAATAATTTAATGCCTTTTCTAAAATATGATCTGTAGTGGTCAGGATTTTTCTTAATAATATAATCGTATAATTATAATTCTTCCTGATGTCTCTTCATTTTATTTAAAACACATGCTATATAATTGTAAATAATTACCTTTTTTAAAATATAAATTTAATTTTTCTGGATTTTTCTAAATTAACTTGTCAAAGGATTTTAGAATTTTTTCATAAGGTTGCTCGTTTTTTTTTTTTTTTGGAAGATGCTGCTTTTATCTCTTTATTGATTATTTTTTGCGTTATATTTATTATTTGAAACTATTTAGAATTATTGTGGAATTGGATTATAATTTTAAGAATGCTCTAGCAAAATACCTTTGAATTATTTCTATTTTATAAGCTTATAGAAAATATTTTTTAAAATAGTTTAAAACAATAGTATTTCTCTCAAAACAAAAATTAAATGGATAGGCCTCAAGTTTATACTAATAATAATTATTAAATATACTTCTTTTTCTAATTATTAAGTTTCTTCATTATTGATTATTTAATAATTTATATTAAACAAATAAAATATAAACTTATATTAGAGTATTCAATTTAAAAAAATATTTTATATTAATCAATTATTTCAATCATAGGATTGATTATAACATATTGAATTGATTTAGAATGGTAAAATAGATCTTATTAATTAAAATCAACATTAACCGTTATTTTTTTTTATTTTTTAATTACAGTCTATTTTCTATTACATATTCTTGATTAGAGCAAAATCGCTAAGCAATAAACAAGTGTTGTCAAAATACTCTCACATAAAGAATTAGAATGAATCTTAAATTTTATAATTATTCACTTCTATTCAACAATAGGTTAGAATTAATCAGATTTTAACATTATATATGTGAAATAATATTTCTTTAAAATGAATATGTCAAATAAAATTTAGAAAAAGATTGTAAAATCAATATTGAAGGAACTTCCCCCAAACAAATCCATAACAGAACATAAAGTTTATACAGCAAATTCATAATCAGATTAGTAATGAAAATTGATATTCTTAGGTATTAAACTCATAAAGAATATACAAGCAATAAAAATTTTTTATTAGAAGAAGCTGATAATTATTATAGAATAAGGGAAAGGATAAAACAACAAAAAGATGAAATAAATTAGGATGACTATGTTGGGTTGAAAGATTTGTTAAAAACAATGAAACCTTAACATCAATTGGGTGATATGTTTAATGCTATTACAGAAATTGAAAGGATTTAATTGCCAAATGAAAAAAAACTTCCAAACTTAGTAAACTCTTTTGAAGTAGAAGGTGGTTTTATTTATTTAATAAATGTTTGGGTAATAGAGTTTATTTATTTTTAGGGGATTGAAGATGAAGAAACATATGAACCAATTGATGAAGTTGTGAAACTATTTAAAAGAAATATAACATGGAAGGATAAAGTTAAATGTGTTGCCATCTGTATTGACAGTAATTCCTAAGAAATTATCAATATCATATAATAAAAAAAATGGGATATTTTTGATCATTATTGTTTATTGCCAGATTCAGAAATAGGTGAAACATTCTTAGACAATTTTAATGTTGAGGAAATTCCTATGGCAATTTTAGTAAATAAGTGGGGTAGGATTGTTTGTTTTGGACTTCATGATCATTTATAAATTGAAGAAAAAATAAAATAATAATTATAGGCTAAGGAAAACATTATAATTTAAAAAGATGATGAATAAATTAATAATACAGGAATAACATAGGAACAATTTAAAATGTTAAAAGCCTATTTTATTGATTTATGGCTATAACTTTAAAACTAACACTTTGATGGAGAGGTTTAAATCAACTTAACAAAGTAAAATTAATGGAAATAAGATGGTTCTAAGACTTTTCAATAGGGAAGTAAACTAGAACTAAATTATTCCTTAGAAATGAGAGAAAAAGAAAAGATTCAAGCTTTTATTGAAAAATATTGGAGTGTAATTCCTGAAAGCTTTAGAGTGATAGAAAATGCTTAAATTAAAGATCTATAAAAATTATAAAAAGAAATATAGCAAAAGTTTTAAAAAGTGTTTGCTACTAAAAGTGTTACTTTAACTTATCCAGAAATGTAAAAAATCTCCATATTTTGGAATTAAAAAAAGAAAATTATGGAAATCGAGAATAATAAATCCTTTGTAGTTAAATAGGAGAAGTTAAATCTTGTAACTTATGAATAAGGAATCAATGAACTTGAAAAGTATTTAGAATAAATAAGTTAAGATGTGGATGCCAAAAAAATAGCAGATAAAATATAAGATGAATTAAAATCTGCTGTAATATTAGGGCCTGGTAAAAAGTTTGCTCCATTAAAATTTTATAAAATGTTTGGCTCAAATGAAAACAAATCTATTGATCATAAATTAGGATAGGTTTTGGTAATTTTCTATTGGTTATGTGAAGAGGAATGTGTAAAAATGATAGATGATTTAATTGAATTTTAAGTAACTAATGTTAATAAATGGGGATAAAATGTTAGAATTGTAGCTTGTAATATAGCTGCTCCAGAAGATTCAAAACAGTTGATGGAAGATAATCCAGAATTTTCTAAAAATATTGAGATTTACTTTAAGAAAAAAAGTTCATTAACAGATACTTCATTATATGGAGTTTCAGAAGTACCTTATTTTGTTATTGTTGATAAATTTGGATATATCAGAAAATTGAAAGAAGTTGAAAATTTTGAAGAATATATTAACAAACTTTTAAAAGAAGATAAAAAATAAGAAATTAAAAAATAACATAAGAGTGAAAAAGCTGATCTTATTAGTAAATTAATGTAAACAGAAGAAATTTCTAAGTTAATTCTCAACATTGATCCTTAAAATGTTATATCACTAAAAATTAGTTTTGATGTTGTTAAGGTAGCAAATGATTAATTAATTTAATAATCTAGTTTAAAATGGTACGTTAGAGATTCTCAAGTTGAAGAATTTAATAAACTTCTAAAATAAGTATTTGAAATAATCCCTGAAAATGATTGGGTTATTGATTGTTAGATTTAAAAAACACTATCACTTAAATATCCAGGTTTGATCTGTGCTTTATGTAAAAAGGATATTTCTAAAGAAAATTAATAATATTATTGTTATTTTAAGGATGAACATGTTTGTGTCGATTGTGCCGAATTTGACGATAAAAATGAGAAAGGAATGAAAAGATATAAATATTAACACACATTAATTTTTATTAATGGGCCATTAACAAATTTATCAGTTTTACACAATATTGATTCACATAAAATTGGTAAAAATCTTTAACTTGCGTAAGGGTATGAAGGTAATTAAAGACATGAAATGGATTGTGATGGTTGTCGTATATCTTCAAAAGGACCAAGATATATTTTAATAAATTCAAAGCCAGGATAATATGATAAACGCGTAATTATTAATATCTAATATTAGGGTTATCATGACTTATGTGAATTTTGTTTTTAAAAAATAAAGAACAAAGGTTCCTAAGAGGCAATCTAAATTATGTAAAAATTGGGCTTAGAAAAACTGAATGAAGATACTCTATTCACAAGAGTACTTTTTAATTATGGAAATTATAGAGATTTTTGAAAGTTTAATATTTTATATATCATCTTTAAATATTCTCAATAATCTCTAAGAAGAATGTTTAATTTGTATAACATTTATATATAAAATTGGTTTAATTTTTTTTTATAAAATATTATGCAAGAATATTAAAATTAAAAATAATATCTTTCACAAAGTTCGACTTGCATGAATATCCTACATCATTTAATTTTTAAGACTTTATTATTATAAAATAGCTTTGTACTTAGTTGAAATGTAACTTAGCCATTTTTGCAATTTGAAGCATAATAGTTAAATTAGCATTATCATTTGAAAAAATGTCTTTGATTATTAACTTTTACTTAACCTTTAAGAACAATCTTTTAATAAAGGCTAAAATATAAATAATTAGAAAAATAAATCAAAGCCAAAATTTCAATTGAATATTAGATGTATTTTTACTTTAAAACAGATTTATAGAAAATATTCATAAATATTTAAGCTTGAACTTGGAAATAAATGTATCAAAAAAGATGTACTAATGGGCATTAATAATTTGTTGTATAAATATCATCATTTAAATTCTTTGTTGCAAATAGGACATTTTTTATTCTAGTTCAACCATTCTGTAATGCATAACTTATGAAAAATATGACTCGTATGACATCTTAACTAAACTATAGGATCTTTATTTGATTTTTCAAGCATTTATTGCAAACAAATAATACAATCTACTTTATTTTTAAGTTCCACTTAGTAAATAAAACTATTATTTATATTTTAAATTGGTTCCAGCTTTGCCTTTTTTCTATTATTTTAAACTCTTGGAATTACATTTTCTATAAATTAATGTTATTGTTCTCTGTAAAGAACTTATTGTGGTTAATTATATATTTCGGAATCTTGCATTACCTAAGATATATTTTAGTGCCTAAATTTAATTTTAATTCCATTAAAACAAGAACAAAATAAGTACTTCAAAATGATAAGACTATTTATTATTAGTTAAAATATTGCACAATCATAAATAATAATATTGTCATAATTTATTATTTAATAATAACTTTTCTCTTCCTTGACAAATTAAATTTAACCTACTATTGTAAGAATAAAACTAATAACTAATAGAAGTTTAAGTAATCTAAGTTTTATTTCTTATAATTTTAATATTTCATCTATAAGTATTTGATGATTAAAGAATAATTCAATTTTATTGTTTTAAATNTATCATCTTTAAATATTCTCAATAATCTCTAAGAAGAATGTTTAATTTGTATAACATTTATATATAAAATTGGTTTAATTTTTTTTTATAAAATATTATGCAAGAATATTAAAATTAAAAATAATATCTTTCACAAAGTTCGACTTGCATGAATATCCTACATCATTTAATTTTTAAGACTTTATTATTATAAAATAGCTTTGTACTTAGTTGAAATGTAACTTAGCCATTTTTGCAATTTGAAGCATAATAGTTAAATTAGCATTATCATTTGAAAAAATGTCTTTGATTATTAACTTTTACTTAACCTTTAAGAACAATCTTTTAATAAAGGCTAAAATATAAATAATTAGAAAAATAAATCAAAGCCAAAATTTCAATTGAATATTAGATGTATTTTTACTTTAAAACAGATTTATAGAAAATATTCATAAATATTTAAGCTTGAACTTGGAAATAAATGTATCAAAAAAGATGTACTAATGGGCATTAATAATTTGTTGTATAAATATCATCATTTAAATTCTTTGTTGCAAATAGGACATTTTTTATTCTAGTTCAACCATTCTGTAATGCATAACTTATGAAAAATATGACTCGTATGACATCTTAACTAAACTATAGGATCTTTATTTGATTTTTCAAGCATTTATTGCAAACAAATAATACAATCTACTTTATTTTTAAGTTCCACTTAGTAAATAAAACTATTATTTATATTTTAAATTGGTTCCAGCTTTGCCTTTTTTCTATTATTTTAAACTCTTGGAATTACATTTTCTATAAATTAATGTTATTGTTCTCTGTAAAGAACTTATTGTGGTTAATTATATATTTCGGAATCTTGCATTACCTAAGATATATTTTAGTGCCTAAATTTAATTTTAATTCCATTAAAACAAGAACAAAATAAGTACTTCAAAATGATAAGACTATTTATTATTAGTTAAAATATTGCACAATCATAAATAATAATATTGTCATAATTTATTATTTAATAATAACTTTTCTCTTCCTTGACAAATTAAATTTAACCTACTATTGTAAGAATAAAACTAATAACTAATAGAAGTTTAAGTAATCTAAGTTTTATTTCTTATAATTTTAATATTTCATCTATAAGTATTTGATGATTAAAGAATAATTCAATTTTATTGTTTTAAATATCAACTTGCCATATAATAAATAATTTTACTTTTAGCAATAAATTTTAATAATGCCATAATTATTAATATCATAGTAACATGGAAAATTAAATTAGATACTATTAAAATATAGGAAGTGTCATTTGGTGTTAAAATAATAATCACTAATAAAGCAATTAATTTTAAAAAATTATTAATCATAAGGATTATACATAATGCTTTACTTCTAAAAATCACTTTTGGAATATCTATTAATAAGAATTTGACTTACTTATATATTTATTAATATATTAATAAGATTGCAAGGATTTAAACCTAACAAGTTAATTGATTTTTGAAATAAAACTTATTCCTTCATATCCAACAAAAAATGAAAAAATAATAATACACATGATTCCTAGTGGCATTAACATAGGACCTTCAAATTTTGGAGGTGTATAATATTGAATACAATATTAATCAGAATTATAGGTATCCTCAAGCATTCTAGGTTATTGCTGAGTATCTTAATTTTTCAAAAAACATTTTGAATAGGTATAACCTACAAAATTTTAGGCAAGAATTATCATTGTAATAATGATATAAATATATGTCCATTTATTAGCAGTAAATTGGGAAGAGCTTGAATATTCAAAGAAAAATATAAATGTACATGAGTAGAACCATTGATTTACTGATTTTTCCACAGGTAGTTTGAGTTATCTATCATTTGCATCAGAGTATAAAATCTACATGTACAAAACACATCCTAAAAGAACAATTAACATAAAAGTTAATAAAATGCATATTATTTATTTTTCTCCTTCATTTTAAGTAGCTGCAAAAATTGAAATAATCAAAGTAATTAATATTAAAGCCATCATAAGATAAAATGAAAAAGAAATACATTCAAAACTAACTTATTAATTTTCTTATTATTCACCTTATTGATTCCTTTATAAACTCAAATATTAAAAATAAATACTTATTTTACTAATGTGTTTGACGATTTCTTTGCATAAATGATCAAATAGAAATATAATTAAAATTATTATTAGATTAAATGATTGTGATAAATTATATTGATTATAACTTCAATTATGGCTCTCATCCCTACTTTTGTGTTTGACCATCAACACTTTTTAAAAACAACATATTATTCAAATATAATATTATTTTCAATAATAAAATTCCATAAAAATTATTTTTGAAAATTCATTTTTTTAAAAATTGCATTTTTGATTATTAAAATTTTATAACCTTTTTTGTATTCAATGACTAAGGTTTGTCAAATGATGATATAATTACGCAAATCCTTCAAATCAAGGTTTCTCTGGAAATTTAAAGATAATTTGTAAACAAATTAAAATTTTTAATTTGAGAATTCGTCATCCTCAGGAAAATAGTGGAATCTTTGTCAACATTAATCAGCTCTATTAAATTTAGTTTCATCAAATAAAATAGTTTAGAATAAGCATACTGCATATTAAAGCATATTAAAAGTGAATAAATAAATTTCTGATAATATACCCATATTAAATAGCTGACAAATTAACTTAAATAAAAATATACATTACCCATTCTTAATAAGTAGCTATACTTGTTTATATGATACAAATTAGAGTACTTTAATAAAATCATCGGTACAATACAGTTTAACTTAAGGTGGTTCAATTATTTTAGGGAATAAAAAGTTGTTATAATTAGAAAGGATTGCTATTATAATGCAAATTTTAGAGAAGGAATGTAATAACCAATCAAATTTATCTATTAAAGAGAAAATATTGCTCGGCTGTATGGAAATAATTATGCTTATACTGAGATTTCAAGTGAATTGACAATCTCTTTTAATAGAACGACAGGATTAAAAAAAGAAGAAATTATTAATATAAAGAATCTGCATATTGAGTAGATTGTAATCAATCTTATGAGCTTTCAAATTTAAAAAGTGCGATACCCCTTTGATCTAAATGGATAACTAAATTTATAATGATAAATTAAATATAAGGGAGTATCACAAAAATAATTTCCTTCATAACTTTTTTCAAGTATTACCATGTCAATTAAAAGAAATGAAAAATCAAACTAAAGATATTTTGTACTATGTAATTCTACTTAAATTATATTCTCTAACAATTTATTCTGATAAATGCTCCATTAAGAATGAATTAAAATTTTAAGAAAATATTTTATATTTAGCAATCAAAAAGTGCTAAATTTAGGAAGTTTATTAAATATTCCTTTTTTACAAGAAATTGCATGTTGTTAATCACGTATAAACGTTAATTTAAATAACAAATTATAATTTTTGTGTTAACATTACCACTAATTTTAAAATTCACATAGTAAAATTAATAATAATAGAATAAAAAAAAATTAATTAGTAATATATTAAATTTGATAAGACCTATTGATATACATAACTTTGTTTTTCGACAAATATATTAAGAATTTCTATTAAAAAATGAAAATTTTTTAGAGTTTCAAAAAATTTTTTCGATTTATTTTATAAATAAATCAGGATGAAAATGTTTTTATTTATTAACAATTATCAATTTTTATTTTAAAACTGTATCCCCTACTCCTATTATCAAATTTCCAATAATTTTGTAGCAACCCTCTCTCTTGTAAAATCTCAGAGTTTCTCAAAAGTCTAACAATAATATTAGTTATGGTTTTATATCAACCACACTCTATATACCTTGAAAAAATATTTTAGCCAACATCATAGTTAGGTAATTATTAAAAAGTATAGACAAATAATGTCTCTGATTAATAAATAGAAGGAATAATATAAAAAATTAATTAAATATGGGATTGTAAATTAAAATAATTCATTTAAGCAGTCGAGTTTCTAATTGATATTAAGCATATTTTTATCAGTTTTACATCAAAAATATTCTTAGAAGATGGAACTACTTTAGCTTCAGGTTGTGTTGATGACTCAATTCGTTTATGGGATAATGATTAAAATTATTAAATATTTAACTTGTTTTTTTATTAATTTTTTTTTCGAAAAACATACATTATTTTTTTATAAAATAGTTTTTACAATTTTTTTTTATCTGACATAAAAAAGAATGCCATTTCATCCAATTTTATGAGACTGCTGAAACAATCACTAATAACGGCAAACCCGAAACCAACCCTTGCATTTTGAACAAATTTACAAATTGGTTATTTGATTCAATTTTATTTTCAACAACAACAAGCTTTTAATGAGCAAACCCTTTTCATATTTTTTACAATATTTATAATTTCACCAGAAAACCCTTTAATTCTATCATTTGGAGTAAATTTATTAAAAAGAAATAATTTATTAATGACCCCAACAATTTTAAGAGGAGGAGGAGTACCTATTGGCAAATAAATTTGGGATTTAAATTTAGATAAAATAAGAAATCCCACTGAAGAAAATTTTACAAACACTCTTTAATGGTTATCATATTAAAATAAAAAAATTTAAAAAAAACTGGAGATGATTGTCTAATAAGAGAATAAGGAAAATTTAAATGAATTAGAGGCTAAGGGATATTAAGAGAAAATAATTAATTTAAATAAATTAGAGAAAGGCCTATCATCCATTTTAATGAGCATTAAAGAATTTGCACCTACATCCTTATTGAAAGTTATTCAACTACTTAATTTTTGTATAGATTTATCAATAGGAATAATTAAATATACAATTAGATGTAATTATGTGCTTGAAATTGATAAATAATTATTGTTAAATTATATTTAAGATTTGGAAACCAATGACTGTTTCAAGCTCAATTTAGGGAGTGGATTTTTCATACAACTATTTATCCTTAAAACTGCAATATCATTAACACCAACAAATGAAGAAGATTTAAGAAATTTGATTGAATTATTTCCTACAGAATTTCCAAAATATTAATATCAATACATAAAAAAAGAGGATAAAGAATAAGCGAAAAACTAATTGAATGAGATAATAGATAAAGTGTGTGAATCTATTGTGCTTTGTGACAATTTTTAAACAAATCATGAAAATTGCGATTATCAGATCAGGAATATGTTCAAATAATTCTATCTCTTTGAGAAATTAAAATCATTTATTGAGATGGAAATTTCTAAATTAGATACTGTTAAAATTACATAATTATGCTTGTAAATTGAAGAGTTATCCAAGTTTATTAATTATTCCAAAAATCAAATCAGTCATTATTTTTGGATGAATCTAATATCAAAACTCTTATATGGTTAATTATCAATATTGGTAAAAATTGAAAAAAAAGAAAAACAAATTAATTGTTTTTGTGGTTATTAATCGGAAACCAATTTAAAAATTCTTGAGTAAGGGGAAATTTAGAAATAGTTATTGTGGAGATTCAAAAGTTAAATTTACAAGATTAGTTTTCAATCTCCTCTTATTTTTGAAAGTGATTTCAAACTTCAAATAGCTGAAAATTACAACTCATAAAATTCAACTTTAAATTTTTTAAAGTATGCCTTGAGCACTGAGAATATTTTGAAATACTTGATCAATCTTCAAACTGAAACAAATATTTTAGAATTAAAAAGAATTCAATTAATTAAAGATATCAAATAATTATTGAAAGACTCTACAATTATTAAGTATAATTAAGAATATAGAAAATTATAAATATAAAAAGTAAAAGATATGAATAAGGATATTAAATTTATTTAAGTGTAATTCTAATTTATAGTACTTGAATGTTTCAATATTCTATAAGAATTTGGTTCATTTTTTAAATTGATAACAATTTACGAGTAAGCTTTTAATTTAAGTGAACATAAAATAATTCTTAATTAAATCATAAAATAATAAGACAAATAAAATTTTCTTGATTTAAAAGTTGATATTCTAAATGAGGCTAAAAATATCAATTTGGAAATACATGGATATATAGAATTTTTAAAGCGCATTTCCTTTGTTAAAAATAGAAAATTAGAATTAGAGGAATTGGATTAATTGAAAAAAGAGTTAGAGAATTTGAAAAAGTAAAATCTAAAATACTTAATGATAAACTTAATTGAATAGGCGAAATAATTAGAAGAAAACTTAGTAAAATTTAAGAAGACTTGTTTTTAATCAATTTAAAATTAATATAAGCCAAATAAAAATTTTAATTTTTGCAATTTCTACTAAAACAACTCTTTTACAATAAAAGAATTTTTGAAAATCATCATTTATTTGAAAGAAACTTCCGGAAAGCTAGTATTTCAAGAAACTATCAAGATTTTAATTTAGGTGATAAATTAAAAGGATTTGCACTAAAAATAATAAAAATAAATATTTGAAAATATAATTTGTGAAACTGAAAAAGGAATTAAATTGCTAAGCTAATATTAAAAATTTTATGAATCTATTGAATCCTTTAATTAGGAATAGATTAAAATTATTATTCTTTTAGAAATTGAGAGAATAAAAAAGATTAAAATGAAAGTTGATCAAATAACAAATAACTAAGAAGAAATTAATCAAATAAATAATAATATTGAAAGTTTAATTTAACATCAATAACTAATTTAATTGGAAAAACTAGAAAAGGATCAAAATGTTTCAATTATCAAATGTAGTACAGTTAAATAATTGTAGTTTTTAAAGAATATTTAATAACAACTTAAAACATTAAAGTTCGAATTTGAAACTGAAAATAAGGTTATTGATGAAATCAGAAGTTTATTAAAAAACTAAAATATTGATTTTTAATATTTAAATGAGAAGTTGAATAATATTAGACATTTCACAAGTCAAAATATCTTAAATCCCATAAACTATAAACTTTGATGAAGGATTATTTTGCTACTTTTTTCAACAATTAATTAATTGGCGAGCAATCTCAGGTTTAATTTACTCATTCAAACTTTAAATGACTATAACAAAAAGAGATTAAAAAAAAATAGATTATGAATCCTTTGATTAAGATGATTCTGATCTATATGACTATAAATCTAATTCATGTTGGATTTTATAAAATTATAATTGCTTTTTTCAATTTAAAGAAGGTTTAATTTATGAATTAATAAATATTATAAGCTTATGTTCAGTTTAAGATATCAAAATAATGGCATTTTGTAAAATATTGGATATTTGGAAGTATGAGACTAAATCTAATGAGCTTTCTTTATTTCAACATGAAAAACTTATGGAATTATGTTTTAATTATATAAACAAGCAACAATCATCAATTTAAAAATTTTTTAATGATAAAGAACTCGAGGTAACCAACATAAACACATTAATAGAATTTTTGGTGTAGTATTCAATAAATGAAAATCTTATTAATGCAATGAATCATATGAAATAACAATATTACAAAACTAAAAATTAAGTAGGAAGCTAATAATTAAATTTCCAAAATGAATTGAATAAGTTTAAAGTGTAAATTCTGAACTAATAAAATTTTTTAATTTTCATACCAATTTTGTGCAAAGAAATAAACAAATTTGATGAATCAGTTTTTACTCCACTTTTTTCAAATGAAACATGTATTTTTGAAAATAAAATATAGGGTTTCTTATCAAAAACAAATTAAAACTAAATGTTATTTATTTATGGACAAGCTGGATCAGGCAAAAGCTATATTTTAAGGAAAATTGAAGAAATTATATGGAATTAAGAGGGATGTTGTTAATTTCCTATATTTGTACCCTCATCTAATGAAAATAAATCATCAACATTATTTATTGATAATATTTTATAAGCGCTACCATATTCATTTACTTCGTCCTAAGTATAATAATTTAAATAAGCAGTTTATACAAATTAAAATGATATCATCTTAATTATAGATAATACCAATTATCTTGTTGATTATGATTTCATTAGAAAAATATAAAATGATTGGAAGAACGTTAAATTTATTTATTCTATAAAATCAGCCCCAATATGTATTAAAACATTAAAAAAAATAAATACTATTTCTAAATTAATTTAAATTAATTAATTTTAACTACTGCCATTTGGTGAAATCTAAGTGAAAGAATATATTTCATAGTAATTGTTTAATCAATTCTTAATGAAGTAAAAGAAATAATCAAATAATATAAATAATTCAGCTTTTTTTAATGATTTAGAAGATTTAAAATTAAAATTTAGAAAAAATGATATTATGAGGTTAATTGATTTTTTTAACATAAATTTACTTTAGATCACTCCATTCTATCTGAAAATACTGTTAGATGGGTTTTCAAAATTTGAAAATTTGAATTCAAGTATTAAAATTTTTAAACGTAATTTTCTTGAAAGATATTCAGAAATTTAGTAAAGAAAAAAGCTTATTGAAAATTATAGGTAAATAGATGATAATTACTGGAAAACTGAAAAATTTTAGGATTAAAAAATTTATAATGCTATCAAAATTGAATCCTAAAGAAAATGGGAAAGCCTTGATTTCTAAAAGTTGAAGAATTTAATATTTTTCGAATCTTTAACAAACGATAAGATAATTTAGGATAATCCTCACACTTTAATTTATTTCCAAAACCTTAAATTGATTGACATTTATTAATTATTTGTTGATTTTTGTTTGGAAGAGCACTATACAGAAGATAATCTAATTCAAAAGAAATAACTTAAAAAAATATTAAGGAATATCACTTTAGAAATGTATAAAAATGAAATAAACCAATCCATACCGATATCATAGCTTAGGAATTACTCAGATATTTAAAAGGACAAACTTTTGAAAATTTAATTCCTCTAATGTATAGAAGGATAGGCTATCTAATTTATTAATAGTTAAATTTCTGATTACTTTGTCATTACATATATACTCAAATTTTTTTAAAAAGCCCCGCAATTCCAATTTTATGTTCTTAATGGAGTAATTTCTTAATTAAATCAAGATCAAATGAGTTACACATACGAAAAACTCAAAGAAAAATTACAAAATTCCAGATTAGTAGATGAAAAAGATTTATAATTTATTAATTATGCACATTCTGAAAAACTTAATAAAATAAATTTCTCTACATTGTAATTTGAAGGAATTTTAAAGTTTTTGCATTATTAAATAAGATATTGGTTGCCAGAATTAGAAAATCAATTAATCACAATTATTAGATTATCTTCATTATGTAATGAATTTGTTTAAGTGTCTTCAAATTGTTTATTTTTCTATTGCAAAATATTTGGTGCTTTATAAAATATAGATTTAAGCAAAATAAACATTTCTAATATTAAAATGATTGGATTGTCTTTTTATAAAGTTAACTTATTTGGAAGCCTATTTTCTAATGTTGATATAAGCAGCTGTGCATTTAATTAATCAAATTTAGAATTATCAAAATGGAATAACATTAATTTTATTTAATAATTTGAAATTGAAACATCAGAATTTACTTGTATTGGAATTTCACCTGATGGATTATAATTCTCATCAGGGTAAAAAGACGGCAATATTATATTATGGGATATTAAAGGAGGTTTATAAATAGGAAAACTTTAAGGTCATTTGAATGAAGTTGAATCAGTTGCTTACTCATCAGATGCATTAAAATTGGTTTCTGGCGGAAGCGATTCATTACTAATTCTCTGGGATATTGATTTACAGAAAGAGCTATTTAAAAGGAATGAACACAAATGTAAAATTTTGGCTGTTGTGTTTTCATAAGATAATAATCTTATTGCATCAAGTGATATAAGCAGCTTAATTGTGATTGTTAATATAAATCAAAAAAATGTTCTTCTGCAATTTAAACTAAACATTATGCTAACAAAATAAATTTACTTTTTTGATAGAGATCAGTATTTGATATTTGGAAGTATAACTAGAATAATAAAACTATGGAAAATAGATTTATAAAACGGCAAAGATTTTGCTCTAAAAAATAATCACAAAGACTTGATAAATTGTATAGCGATATCTTCTGATTAAAAGTTTATAGCTTCAGGTAGCAAAGATAATACTATAATCATTTGGAGTATTCTAAAAATTGAGGAAATAAATTAATTGAAAGGTCATACTAAATAAATAAATGATATTAAATTTAAACATTAGAATACTTAATTGATTTCCTGTAGTTCAGATTAAACAATAAGAATATGGAATTTATAGAATAATTAAGAAATAGTAAGATTGTAATCTCATTCTTCTGAAGTTAAGTAAATTTTGTTAACTTCGAATGAGTAAATATTGATATCATACAGTTCTGATTCGTCAATCAAACTTTGGGACATAGGTTGCCATTGTGTCCATTCAAAATTTATAAATTACCCAGATTAAACTGTGAATTTATTAAAATTTTCTTCAAATGAGGAATATCTGGCCATAGCTCTTTATAATGATATAGAAATATGGAGTGTTATAAATTTCATAAAAATCAATTAACTTCTTGGCCATTCTCAAAAATTAACTGCAATCATATTTAGCAATAACGATAACCAAATTATTTCTTCTAGTTTGGACAAAACAATAAGGGTCTGGTCAATTGATACTGGAGAATAATTGTATTTATTCTATGATGGTTATGGAATAAATAGTTTAATATATTTCTCTAATCTAAAGAAATTTGTTTACATAAGTCAAGATGAATTAGTTACTTTTGATGATTCATATGAATAAAAAAGAGAATAATTAAAGCATTTAGATAATTTTTCTCCTTTTATTTTATCTTAAAATATGTAACTCTTACTATTTAAAAATGATTTGAAATAGTTAATGCTAATTGATATTCAAAGAAACTTTTAAACTAGATATTTAGATTTATAAAATAACTATTCAATCGACATGTGCAATTCTTTTTCAAAAGATATGAAATATATCGTATTTCCTATTCAAGATAAAAACATTTGTATTTTAAATTTAGAAGTTTTAGAATATAAAATAGTAGAAGGTCATACTGATAAAATTATATCATTAGAGTTTTGTAACAGCAAAACTTTTGTGTCAGCTGATTTTAACAAAACTATAATATTTTGGAATATTCAAAACATACATAATATAAGAATAATCTATCAAAAAGATGATCTTGAAAGTCCTATTAATTGTCTAGCATTTTCAGTCAAAAAATCAATTCTAACAGCTTCCAACTTATCGAATTAAATCATCTTCTATAAAGTTGGAACAGATATAGCAACCCTATCTTAAGAATAATCTATAAATAATTTATCATTTTCAAATGATGGATAGATGATAGCAGCAGCAGTAGGAAAAAAATGTGAACTAAAAATGTGGAATTTTGAGACTAAAGAGGAAATTAAAATGAATATTTTTGATGTCGAGCATATTATATTTACACCAGATAATAGAAAATTAATTCTGGTTAAAAAATTAACCAATACGCATTAAATAATATCACTTGATCTTGAAACCAAAAGTCAAAAAGAAATAACAAAAACTAATTTTTTTATAAAATCTATTGATATTTCTTCTAATGGATAAACATTAGCTATTTCTTCAGATCATAAATTTATTAACCTATTTTATTTAGATGAAAATAAATTAGAAATATTAAAATGTAATTAAAAAATAGAAAAGACAGAAATCATAAAATTTCATAACATTTCTGATTAATTAATAATTATTGATGATAATAAAATGATTACTTAGAGTATTTCAAATGAGAATTATTGCTAAAGTAGAAAACTTAGCTCAAGAATAACTTCAATCACAATAGCTCATGATGGATAGAAAATAGCTATATCTAACATTGATAATGAGATTCATTTTTGGTTATTCGAAATATATAAAGAGAAAGCAACTCTAACTTCACAGAAGCTAGAAAACAAAATAAACTGCCTTTGCTTTACTCAAGACGGAGAATATTTAGCAATAGGGAGTTAGGATCATTCAATTAGAATTTGGCATATTGCAAAGGCTATATAATGTTAAAAATAATAAATTTATGATTTACTCAAAAATTATGGTTCCTCATAGTTACCAATTTTTATTTAATAATGTGAAATTTATAGATATGATGATCATCAAAAAGCGATATTTTAATTAATTTTTCATCCTCTTAAAAATATCTTGGTTTCCATTAGTGAAGACGGAGCTATTAAGATAAGAAATATTCATGAAATTTAAGAAACCTTTAAAATAAATATTAGGAAAAAGCAAAATTATCCAATCTCTTATTCAGAAAATGGAGAATATTTAGCATTTTTAAATTATAATGATTAAGTTATCATATGGAATCTAAATTAAGATTAATTAATTAAAATATTGAGCAGTAAAGATATTTAGGAGGTTCTATATTTAAAAATTTCTTAAAATGGAGAATAGTTAATATTATATTGTTAATCAAAAAAATTTAGACTTTGGAATCTTTTAAGGGATGAGCAAATTAAAGAGTATCACTAAGAGATTTAAATGTGCTATTTTGATTGTGATTTCAACAATAATATAGCCTATATAAAAGAATATAAAGAAATATTTATAGTTAATTGGAAAGGTAATTTATAAACTCAAAGTCCTATGATATAATAAGATGTCATTTCAATTTAATTGTCAAAATAAGGTAAATAATTAGTTAGTAGCTCATATAAAGAAATATATATTTGGGCTTTAGAAGAAGAAATGGTCTTACACACCATTACAATTAGGACAGAAAATAACCCTAATATACAAAGAGTTATTTTTAGAGAAAATAATGAAAAATAAATCATTAGCTTATAAAACGGGAAAGTTAAATTTATCAACAAAGAAACTCAATAAGAAGAGTCAGGGGAATAAACTTTAAATGAAGAACTTATTCTAAATCCATATAACAAATTCAATTCAATTAAACATCAAATAGGTTATTATAAAATTATCTCTTCAAAATAATAACATTTATCAGCTGAATACTCAATTATTAGAAACTCTGATTTTAGTTATAGTTTGATGTCATATAAAAAGTAAATTAAGATGGACCATATTAAAATTAGTATAAGCAAAACATTTTTAATTCTATTTCTTTCCAGTATGGATTTTTTATTTTTTATGTAAGAATGTCATTATCTGTAATAAATAAAAAAAAAAAGAGCATAACTACCTTTCAATAAAAATAATGCATTAGGGCAAATTAGAACTTGGCCCTATTATTTAGTTTTTATAATTGAATTGATGATAAGATTCTCTCATTCAAAAAGCCTCAAACATTAATAATTAAATGCCTCAAATCTTTTGTTGTATGGAATGCTTACTCCGTTCAATATAATTAGGTGTTTTCCAAAAAGCCAAGATATTTAATGTATTTTTTATCGAACTTTATGATTTCAGGTTCAAAAGTTTAACAAATGTAATCAATTTACTTGAAGTTGTTTTTTAATAATGATAACAATATTACAAACACTTTTATGTTTTACTATTTTAAAGTTTTAATCTTAATGAATTAAGATCTGATGACATTAAATCAAGGACATGATCAATTGGTAATTAATGAGGTCCAACACTTTATCATCATATTATCTAAAACTTATAAATTAAAAAAATAAAGTGACCTCTTTATCTGAATCTAAATTTAAATAATATTAATTTTTTCCTAAGTAGCTTTTAATATTAAATTATAATTTTTTTCAGGTTCTGGATATTTCATAGTATTTATCAATGTTAATCTTTTTATCAATAGTTAATTATTTAATTTAATAATAGATTATAAATTTAAAATAATCTAAAACTCTAATTATCAACATACCTAATTTAAAATGGGGGTTCGTAATATTAATTAAGGCGCTTATAAAAAAATAAAAAATTACAGTAAAGTTAATAACTCGAAAGGTAATCTACTTTGGTTGATACAGCAATAATAATTGCAAGTTTCAGGAAAAGCTAGTCATAATTAAGAATAATCAATAAAAAGATTAATTAAAATTCGCCAACTTATATTAAACTCAAGATAGTATTTTTAAAAAATTCGCATATTCATCCCCAAAATTCTTGCCCTAATCAAGCATAAGTATTAGATAATGGCTCATTAGGATAATGAAAAATGATTTTTAAATAATAACCATTAAGATTATTGATTTCTGATGAATGGAAGCACTCAGTTAATGAAATTATTAATTATGATTGGAATGAAGCTTATTGAAATGTTTATGAATTATAGATTCAATTATTTAGAAAATAGTAATATGAAAAATGAAGAATAATATAAAGGTTGTCGAGATTAAATTTAATTTCTAATACGGCGTTTCTACTCAACTTTATTAATGAATCAATTTTATCTTTTACATATTAGTTACAATACTTAGTACAGACACCTTTATGATCTTTTTGTTCCTTCTTATGTTCTTTATAAATATTTTACTTGTTCACCTAGAGAATTAGATACTTGGCTTACCTTAAGAAATGCTTGCTTTGATATTTTATAACTAGTCTTCTTCTTTTGTAATTGGCTTGATTTTTTAATATAGAATCAGCTATAATTTATTAGCAGTCTATTTTGCAAGCATCATCTTTAAAATTTAAAGTTTCTCTAACTAAACTAACAATTTATTGAATGGATATTAAAGCAATTATATCTTGTGCATTTTTCTGGCATTTAGCAATTAAATTCTTTATTAATTTTATTGTGATATCTTCTCACCCAAAAGCCTTTAAATATTTAAATTAAATTTTCATTATATTTAATCCATGAATATCTATATCCTAAAATGTCTAGTGATAAATTAGTAAATTATATAATAATTAAAAAATAAAATATACTGACTTAAAATATTATCTATACTTGTTTAGAAGTTGAGAAATTATAGATTAATTTGATGGGAATAAAATCTTAAATTATGTTCATAAATTCTCAAATGTGATATCAAACTACCACCATCTTCTAAATTAATAGTCAATTAATAACTAATTAACTATTATGATTAATTTAAAAACACTTAGTTCATTAAGTATTCTAAAATATGAAAATAATTTTAAAAAAGATAATTCCTAGATTTGTTAAATTATAGAAATTCAATAAAGTTGATAGTAAACAGAATTCATCAGTTTAATCAATCATATGTTTAAATTCCCACACTCCTTACGAACCTTTTTCCCAAATTATAAAGTGACTGACTCCAAGCTGATTCTCCTCTAGATTTAACTTTAACTTTTAATTGTCCATTATGTCTTAAAAAACTTTCTTAAAACTAATTAATTTTGTTTATAATTCTATAGCTCCCATGCATTCAGACCATAAAGCCTTTAATTCTCCTTCAGTGATGGATCACAAGCAACCATTAGGATTGGAAGCTATTGTTTATAATATTTTTCTAAGTCAAAAGTACGAAGGTTAAGATTATTGATTTTACAACATTCAACTGATGAATCTTTTATATTAAGATTAAAGTAGTAAATCGTAATTAATGAAATATAAATGAATAAATATTGGAGAATATTAAAAAAGAGATAGATACTTGCTTAATTTTGTATTAAAATTGATATGATTTAGAAGATTGAAAGAATTAAATTGTCTAATTTTTCATAATTTTTCTTTAGAAATATAATTAATTTGTTTAACAATTCTTTGTGCTAAATTAGTCACATGATTTAAAGTAATTTTCTCAAAAATTTTTTTATTTATTTATTTATTTTAATAGAATTAAGTTATTTGGACAATAAGAGTGAGTCAAATCATACTACTTAGGAAATTTTTTATGAATCAGAACAATAATTTGAGTTTTATCGCTTGATATTGATTCTTCCTTTTTATCATTTTTTCGAAATAGACTTCCAAATTACATCTATTAGAATTATTTTGAAAAAATTAACAATATTACATAAAACAACAATTTCCGATCTTATTAATAAAAAGATGTAGGATGATTATGTTTTTGGAATAATATTAATAATGAATGTGTAGAGCTGATACATATGATAAATTATCTGCTTCATTAAAGAAAGATAAAGATTTCAATGAGAAATGATGATGCTTGTATAAAATTTAGAAAAGATGGAATTTGTACAACAAAAGAGGAGGGTAGTTGTGTCACTAGAACTAGTTGTTAAGCAGCAAAAATAAGGGAAGCTTGTGTTAAAATTTGAAGGATTTTCATGTTTAGGGATGGATAAAATTGTTTAGACAAAATAATTTAAATGCACCAAAAACATTGATTACAAATTCTGAATATGATGAATTTTGAGAAAAAACATGTGAATATGTTGCAACATCTTTATTAACTAATGAAGAATAAGAAGCTTATTTATAAGGTCATAATTGTATTACATAAACTGGAGGTTGATTTACTACTTAAAATATTTTGGAAGCAAGATATTTATAGAATATAATGTAATTGGGATAAAGTTAATTTGAATTAAAGAGGGAAGATCATGTTGGTATTAAATATAAAAATATTCAGGTAGTTATTCAGTAAATAGATTACTTTCTGCAAGCCATACAATAACATAGAATGATTGTTAATTATTTTTTCGATACATGTATTGCTAATTCAACAAATAAAGAATGCATAGAGAAAACATGTGAAGATTCTCTTCTTTAAACAGATTGTTTTATGAATGTCTTAAGTAATTAAGCATGTGTGTGGATTGAAAAATGTTATTAAAAGTAATTTGACTTTGCTTCTAAGGCAACTACTCATCAAGAATGTTAAATATATAAATAAAGTTTTAAAATTAATAATAATATTATTGATAATTTATTAGTAATGTTGTTTATAATCAATGTAGAGATAAGAGTTGTTCCACTGCATTGTTTTGATTCTCCTGATAGTTAATTGTTTTATACAGATCAAGAAAGTTCAATTTATTAAAGTAATCAAAAATGCTCAGATGATAAGATGATAAGAGATCAGGATAATGTCATAAAACTATATAAAATTAAACAACAAAAGATGATTGTAAAATGGATTATAGATAAATGTTATTCAATACAATATTCAATATCATAACCTTGTTCAATGTTAAAAGGATCTAAATATATGTATTAAAAGTTTAATGATGGTTGTACAAATACAGATTCAGCTAATTCTTTAACTCCTTGTTTTTTAGTTTAATAGTTAAAAATAGGATCATAATTAACTTTTCGAGATTGTTAACAATTAGATATATAATATTCTGTGAAAATAGATGGTACTTGATCTATGAATGTACATACTACTTGTTAAACCTATGGATCATAATCAATAGGTGTATAATTAATACTGCTACTCCACCATATTGTTAACTTTAACATAGGCATCTGAATGCAAAAATGTTAAGTATTGATGGTAGTTGATATGTTCTTCTATAATTGGACTTACAAAGGAATAAATTATATTTTATGATGTACATCAAAAATAAACTAGATGTGATCTTTATTTTACTAAAACTTCTTGTTCTTATTCTACAGCAACAGGAAGTGCATATAAATGTGTTTCGAATGCAACAGTATGTCTTACTATCTAGCAAAAATTTTTGAATATAGTTTGCTTATAGAATAGGAAATCATCTAACTGATATTAAATGTTATTCTTATTATTCGGATGTAGAGTAAATCGTTCAGGGTTAGCTTGTTAATAGATGCTTAGAGTTTGTAATAAATACACGAGTATAAAAATGTTCTAAATCATCAGCATAAGATTTGTATGGAATCCTGATGTATTTGGAATTAAATGTATTCTAATTACAAGTACAATTTTTAACGATGCTGAATGTTCGTCGAATGCTTCTGCTTTGTATATTTAAATTATACAACCATATCTTTTATCAAAAAAAATATGCTAAAAAAATTTAAATATTAATATTTAAATTTAAAAAAATAATTTTATTTANATTTTGAAAAAATTAACAATATTACATAAAACAACAATTTCCGATCTTATTAATAAAAAGATGTAGGATGATTATGTTTTTGGAATAATATTAATAATGAATGTGTAGAGCTGATACATATGATAAATTATCTGCTTCATTAAAGAAAGATAAAGATTTCAATGAGAAATGATGATGCTTGTATAAAATTTAGAAAAGATGGAATTTGTACAACAAAAGAGGAGGGTAGTTGTGTCACTAGAACTAGTTGTTAAGCAGCAAAAATAAGGGAAGCTTGTGTTAAAATTTGAAGGATTTTCATGTTTAGGGATGGATAAAATTGTTTAGACAAAATAATTTAAATGCACCAAAAACATTGATTACAAATTCTGAATATGATGAATTTTGAGAAAAAACATGTGAATATGTTGCAACATCTTTATTAACTAATGAAGAATAAGAAGCTTATTTATAAGGTCATAATTGTATTACATAAACTGGAGGTTGATTTACTACTTAAAATATTTTGGAAGCAAGATATTTATAGAATATAATGTAATTGGGATAAAGTTAATTTGAATTAAAGAGGGAAGATCATGTTGGTATTAAATATAAAAATATTCAGGTAGTTATTCAGTAAATAGATTACTTTCTGCAAGCCATACAATAACATAGAATGATTGTTAATTATTTTTTCGATACATGTATTGCTAATTCAACAAATAAAGAATGCATAGAGAAAACATGTGAAGATTCTCTTCTTTAAACAGATTGTTTTATGAATGTCTTAAGTAATTAAGCATGTGTGTGGATTGAAAAATGTTATTAAAAGTAATTTGACTTTGCTTCTAAGGCAACTACTCATCAAGAATGTTAAATATATAAATAAAGTTTTAAAATTAATAATAATATTATTGATAATTTATTAGTAATGTTGTTTATAATCAATGTAGAGATAAGAGTTGTTCCACTGCATTGTTTTGATTCTCCTGATAGTTAATTGTTTTATACAGATCAAGAAAGTTCAATTTATTAAAGTAATCAAAAATGCTCAGATGATAAGATGATAAGAGATCAGGATAATGTCATAAAACTATATAAAATTAAACAACAAAAGATGATTGTAAAATGGATTATAGATAAATGTTATTCAATACAATATTCAATATCATAACCTTGTTCAATGTTAAAAGGATCTAAATATATGTATTAAAAGTTTAATGATGGTTGTACAAATACAGATTCAGCTAATTCTTTAACTCCTTGTTTTTTAGTTTAATAGTTAAAAATAGGATCATAATTAACTTTTCGAGATTGTTAACAATTAGATATATAATATTCTGTGAAAATAGATGGTACTTGATCTATGAATGTACATACTACTTGTTAAACCTATGGATCATAATCAATAGGTGTATAATTAATACTGCTACTCCACCATATTGTTAACTTTAACATAGGCATCTGAATGCAAAAATGTTAAGTATTGATGGTAGTTGATATGTTCTTCTATAATTGGACTTACAAAGGAATAAATTATATTTTATGATGTACATCAAAAATAAACTAGATGTGATCTTTATTTTACTAAAACTTCTTGTTCTTATTCTACAGCAACAGGAAGTGCATATAAATGTGTTTCGAATGCAACAGTATGTCTTACTATCTAGCAAAAATTTTTGAATATAGTTTGCTTATAGAATAGGAAATCATCTAACTGATATTAAATGTTATTCTTATTATTCGGATGTAGAGTAAATCGTTCAGGGTTAGCTTGTTAATAGATGCTTAGAGTTTGTAATAAATACACGAGTATAAAAATGTTCTAAATCATCAGCATAAGATTTGTATGGAATCCTGATGTATTTGGAATTAAATGTATTCTAATTACAAGTACAATTTTTAACGATGCTGAATGTTCGTCGAATGCTTCTGCTTTGTATATTTAAATTATATGATAATTATTATAACAAATGAGTGGAAATGATGTTACATATTAAGAAATGCTTGCTAACCTTATTCTGGTTATGTAGAGTATGTAAGATTTTTTATTGATAAAATAATTTGCTGATCTAAAACACTAAATCTCTTTTAAAAACATAATTTGATAACTCTAAAATAATTAAATATGAAATATTTAATCAATTCCATCTCTTTAAAATCTCAGAGTTGAAACACATCATCCAAGAAATCATATCATTATCTGTTAGATTCACTTTGACTTACATTAGACTCTATGCATATGCCATTATAAATTATGATGCTCCCTTAAACATATAAGAAGTATAAGATTATTTTGCCTTATCGCATTAAAAGGTGACATCTTTAATGAACTCTACTTGACAGTTACAGATTACATCACCATATTTTGTGATAAACCGAGGTGCTCCACATTTTATATGATACCAAGTTCTCGGTTCATTAGATTGACAAACACAATGAGAAGGGCAAGAAATTTACAAAGGCAAACCTATTCTATTTTTAAGTTCTTCTTTTGGTTAACTTGAAACAGACATGCAAAATAATGTAATAACAACAAAAATTTATCAGCTTTCAATATAATATAATTCTATTAAATAATCACTATTTTGTTCTATTCAATATAAATAATTTTGAATGTTTCAAAGTTTAAGTTGGGTTCTACACCCATGCAATAATTTCAATGATTTTAGGTTAAAAATACAAGCTGTAGATTATTTAATTGTAACTAACATAATATTCATTTGAAAAAAGAATGAGAAGAATCAGAACATTTAAATTCTTAAAAGTAAATATTTTAAAATTTTATTATCCTTTATTCTTTATTCTTTCCTTTCATCATATGAGCAGATCACATTTTATTATCATAATTATAATCAAATTTTAAAATTTTATCTTTCATTTAATCCTCTAATCCAGGATTAAGTGCTCGTTTTTAATTTTTATTTCTGTAAAATTAATACTAATATCATATTTATGTCCATAAAAAATATTGCTTTTTAACAATTTTCAACATACAATTTAATTTGGTATATGGTTTTGACAATAATATTTAATTTTTTCATTAATGAAACTAACAATAATGATTAGTTTAATATGTAAGTGGATTCTTTTCACGTTAATGTTTATGACATCAATAATTTTGTTTTGATATGATTCAACTAATTTGATGTTATTTTTAGCATATTTATTTATAAAAGAAATTATATATAAAATAATTAACAAATTTATATAAATCTGATTTTCAATTTAAACTAGTAATAACTCTATAAGAATATTCAGAATAACATAATTGCTTGATCTTATATATTTGTATGTTAAAGTTCATGGGTGATATTTATGAGCTATTTTCAACTAATCATCATATATGGTTTCAAATTACCTCACTATTACTTATTCAAATGGATATCCATTTCATAAAGCATTATTTTTATTGTAATTAGTCTAAATTCCTTTTAATTAATCTAATTAAGTAATTAAATTATAATACATTTTAAGTTCCCAAGAATTTGTGTCTGTTATCAAGGAGGATATTGCTCCAAGAAATATCATTGAGGATATTTAAACTTTGAGCTTTATTTTATTAGATTAATTTTCTCTTTAATTTAGATTGTTGAAACTCAAAGTTAAATTATTAATTTATTCTTGCTTTGGAATTATTTAAATTTTATTGATAATTGAAAATACTAATTTTCATTATTCTATTTTAGAATTTTCAGAGTAACTTAGAACATTATTAATAATCTTAATAAATTCAGTATATAGGGAATGCATTTTTTATTGAAATAAAGTATATTTAATTTCATCCACATTCTTTCAACCACCAAAATGAAGGATTATTTTTTTTTAAAATTGTTCTTCAACTTATCAATATTTTCAAAAAGTAAAAAATTTAATCAAAATTAAAAAACATAAATCAAAAATAATAAGTTGAGAAAAAGCTCTACAGAAAATTGATCTATCTAATAAAATATTCTATTCTATGATATATTTTATTCTATGTAATTATATTTTCATTTCTTTTTAAGAGCTTCTAAGCATTCATCTTAATATTAGATTTAAAATATACTTTTTCTTTCTTTAACCCACTAATTATTAGGAATGATTTTCAAAGCTTTATCATACAATATCAAAGCTTCTTAATATTAATGTTGATCTTGATAAACATTGTCCTAAAAATGTATAATAATCTACCTTTAATTTTTAAAGAATCAAAGTGATTAGAATTTATTGATAAAGATTAATCTAAGACTGCCATGGCTTCTTTATACTTTTTCAATAATCTTAAGGAATTACCTTTAATATTTAGATATATAAATACCTTTAGTAGAAAAAGAATTGCAATGCTTAGGATCAATCTCCAAGGCTTTATCTGCCCATATAATTGCCTCATTATATTAAGCAAGCATTTTTAGACATTCCGCTAACACATAAAATAGTAAATCTACCTTTGGTATTCAATGTGAATTAATTTTTAGGATCAATCTCCAAAACTTTATCTGCCCATATAATTGCTTCATTATATTGATCAAGACCTCTTAAGCATTCAGCTAAAATTTATAATCATGTTTCTACCTTTGCAAAATAATGAGAATTAATGTTTAGAATTAAGCTCCAAAGCTTTATCTACCTATACAATTGCTTCTTTATATTGATTAAGCATCCGTAAGCATTCAGCTAACACATACAATAGTAATACTACCTTTACTATACAATGCTAATTAGTGTTATTAATTCAAAATTAATGCTTAATCTAAAATATTTATAGCTTCTTTAAAATTCTTTTCATTCCAATATAATTTATAGCCTAAATAATAATTTTGTTTACCTTTTTTATATAATTCTTCAGATTTCTGGATATCTTAAGCTGAGATTTGATAATAATTCAATTAAGTTAATTTTAAGTCTTCATATACATTTTTTAATGAATCTTGAAAATTATTTGAAGCTTAAGTCATTTAAATATCAATTTTTGATACAAATGAATTGAATAGGATAGTTTCTGTGAAAAAAGAATTCATTTAACTCAGATTAAATTTAAGGAATTATTCTTTGGATCTTTGATATTTATTTCTAATTCCTAGAATTAATGAATTAAATTATTGGTATAATGAATCCATCAATTACTTCAATTTATTAATTAAATGATCACATTCTTTCTCAACTTTTTCAATACGCTCAAACAAATTTGGTAATTCATATTGATTTTGATGATGAGGAGAATGGATTCCATTTCTATTGCATTCCATACAATATAATCTATTTTCTTTACAAGTTCTATCAAAGCAAACAAGTTTTACATTGTTATCATGTAAAATACATTTTATTTCTATTTCTTGATTCATTATTTTTATTAATATTATTTCAATTTCTATTAAAATTTATTTTGCATAGAGAATATTAAAATTAGCAAATATCAACAATTATTTTCAATTATTAATAATGTTGTATGAAATACATATCAAATAAATAGAGGTGTGTATTTATTTATCAAAATTATGTTAAGTGGATATCTAAAAGTAATACTTCTAAGCATACCATAAATATTATATTAGAATGAATTAGTTTTAATGATTAATAATATTTTAGAATGAATTTTACATTAAATAAATACATTAAAAATAAATATTAGTTTAGACAACATTTAAATCATTTATGAGCATTTTAGAAACAAACCATTAAATAATTGAATTATGAGAAAATTAAAAAAAGGTTAATTAGATTGTAAATGATTTGAGTTTGAGACGGTTTCAATTGTACTAATAAGAATAAGATTACCATATATATATCTTGTATTTGAAAATTTTATACAAGAAGAATTTGATGAGAAGTGTTTAGAATAAATTGTTGATTAAGCCTTTTTTAGATTCAAAAAATTAGGATAACTAATTTCGAGCATTTATAAGTTTTTATTAAAATTGTTTATCATATCAGTTAACCCATCTATCATAAATAAGTATTATAATCTAAAATTAAAATCTTTTATTTAAATTAATTTTAACTTTTTTCCAATTTCTCTACTGAATTTAGACACATAAACAAAAAAATTAATAAATATCATCAAATTATTAGTTTATCAATATTATTTGGTTGAGAGAAAATACTAAGTTAATCTTCTTATTAATTAATAAAATTGAGTAGACTATTTGTATAAATAGAAACTATCTATAACACTACAACACGAACATAAAATTAAGATGTAGAATTTTGCTTTTGAAATTTATTAAATTTTGTGGATTTTTTGGATAAGTAATTAAAATAAAAACAAAAAAGTTAATTATTTTATTTTCTTAATATTTCAACTTTCCATCTTTTACAATTATAAATAGTTTTTTAAATTCATAGTTATTGAAAACTCTTAGATCCTATTTTAATTTATCATTTAAATTCATCAAAATTCCTTATTAAAAATAAAAGTTAATTTTGAATAAATTTTTGTAATAACCTAATAATAATCATTATATTTCATTTTTTGTGGAAATTTAGAAATACTACGGAACCAATTTAGTTCCGTTTCGATAATTTTTTTATGTTTAATATGATAATATAATATCATTTATTTTATAAAACATCTAGATTTAATAATGTTTTTGAAAATTAAATATATTATTTTATTATTTTTGAAACTGCATTCTATCTGCAAATAGACCAAAAAAGCAGGTTAATCATTTGTTTATTTGTTAAAATGTAATTAAAATGAAAAAAATGTGATTTTGTTCTAGAATTACTTTAGATAAATCGCACTCAGTTAATTATTCAATGAAATAACACTTAAATAGATTTAATTTCTTAAAAATCATAGAGTTTGTCAGAATAGTTGAATTCATAAGTAAATTTAGCTAGAAATTAAAAGAACATATAAAAGGGATTCATGTAAACAATTCAATAAACAGAGAGCAAAGACACATAAAAAGAAATTTGGACTTTATTATCATCAAAAATTTTAGAATTATATAGAAATATTTAATATCAATATTGACATTGTTAAAAAAGTATAAATGATGGAAATAACAAAATTTAAATTTTGTCCATATATAATTTAAGAATTTAAGTAATCTTTTTTTGTACTAATCATCAAATTTTAATCATTGAATATTCAACTTTTTCATCAATAAATAAGGATGGTTAAATAAAAAATTAAAGAAATATTTTGGATGCTATATTTAATTTCTCTATAAATATGATGGAAGATACTTATATCTATATTGAATTAACTCAATTAATAATTGTTTCAAGAAATCAAATTAAATAATTTTTTGTGAAGCTATTCTCCTGAGTAATAAAAAGTAATCTTAAAATAAAAGATAATATTAAATTTCTGTTAAAGTGATAATACAATGAAAATATATACAATATAACTAAATAAATCATTTGCTTCGATATAATTATATAAAAAATTCCTAATTGTAAAATTGTTTTTGGAAATTGAATTTACAAAATCAATAAAACAAGAAAATTTATTCATTTAAGTTTATTATCTCTCATTTAACATCTGTGTTCAAGCATAGTTATTTATTTTTTTGTTTTATTCCTAAGGAGTTTCAGAAGTTCTTTAATATTGATTTTATGGTAAATATAAATATAGCCTTAGAAGGATTATCTAATTAATTTAATTATAGATTTTATTAGATAAAAGTTTTTAAACTATAATAAAGAAAATGAATTGCATTAGAAAATGATTAGAATTAAATGAAGTAGGCTTAAAGTGTGTTCTAATTTAAGAAAAAGGAATCATCACAAAATTGATAAACTCATTAACTTAATTTATGTAATAATAAAAAAGAATAAAGAATAGCAAAATTCTTCATTAATTAGGTTTAAAAAGTATAGTAATTTCTTTTATGTATTAAATTCCAATATTAAATTTTTTTTTATTTCAAGCATCCTCTTAATTTTATCTTGCTTCTCTTTCAAAAAAATTTCTATTCCATTTATTTATATTTGAAATTAATTGTGAAAATCTTCTTGCCAAACTAGAATAGTAATTTATGTTTAATAAATGCAATTCTATTAAGATAATTAATTCTATAAATAATACCCTAAAATTATTTTAATTAATTAATATTATATTGAATAAATGTAGAATGCAAATAAAATCAAATGGATTTTTTGGATTAGTATTATCTTTCCTCTAGGAAAATAACTAAATCCAATAAATCAAGAAGAAATGCTAAATTTTTTGGAAGACTAATTATTTAAAGGGAATTGGGAATCTACAAATTTGACAACCAAATAATATAGTTTTCTCGATGTTGATACTGGTATAGTCTTTGTAGGCTTGAAGAATCAATTATTATTTTTTAGAATGCGAAATCCTAAATACAAAGACGATAAAATAGTATATGGTATCTTAGAAATTAATAATTATAATTAAACCTTAATGTAAAGTTTGAAATAGTTATTTCTATAGGACTTGGAATGATAATGGAGTCATATCTTTAGAAGGCTACAATAATCAGAAAACTATTTGGATTGAAAAAAATTGCTCATTACAATATAGTGTTTAAATTATTTTTGAAAATGCAACTTAAATTATATAAAACACTCATATCAAAATTACATTAAATAATCTAGATACATAAAACTTACATTGCTTGTTTAATTTAAATTTTTCATTAAAATATGACCCATAAGAAGTTTTAGGGTTTAATATTTTTTAGGTTTGCTATTTATTTTTTTTTTGTACAGAGGTTCTCTTAATTATAGATTAACTTTTTCGTAAAAGACTAAAAATTTCTTATGTATAAATTGTTATTTTTACTTAGATTTCATATTCAGCGATTATTATTAAAGAATTGTCAATATTTGATCTATATATATTTACATTTGATTCTATTGTAAAAGGAAATATTGAAATTTTTATGGTTATGCTCGTAATGTTGTATTCAATATTGATGAATAGTTTGAAGTTTTTTTTGATTTAAAAAAAATTTGAAAATAGGCATTTCATGAGAAAATGTACATTTTGGAAAGCAATTTTGATTTGCTCCTTTTAATTAATGTGCTCTTTCTTTTTGATTATCCAATTTTAAAATTATAACTTCCTAAAAGTTATTTTTTCAATGATCATATATGCATAAATTATTCATAATGTTAGGGTAAATTGTAAAGAAGACTTTAACATGATTTACATTTTTGGATATTTGTCTCCTCATGTTATACTTAATGTAAAATAAATAAATTATATAGTCTTATATTTAAATATGTCCAGAGAATAATTATAGTCTCAAGCCTCATTATTTTTTATTCACTTGTCTTTTTTGTATATATTTCAGTTCCATTTTCCTAATCTATTTATAAAAAATACACGGATCGAGATATCTGATTTCTTGGTGTATTAAAAATAGATTCATAAGATAAGATTCTAATCCTTGTCCTTGTTGTCTGAGTGATATGGGAAAACAAGATGAAAATTTAATGCTAGAATAGTTTATAATTACAACTCCTTGCAATCATCAATTTCATAATGATTGCTTAGAATAATGGAGATAAAATAAGAATGATTGTCCTGTATGTAGGCATTAGTTTCATTGATTAAAAAAATTGAAAAATAATTATATCCTTTTAAATAACCTCTTTTTTATCTGAATCGGTTTTATAAAAAAGAATATGATTCTTAGATAGGATTTTCTATTTAGAATCCAAAATCTTTAGCCAAATTGCCAGATTCTATTGTTTTTATTGAAAAAGATCACCAAATCCTAAATAAAGATGCTTTAATTTGTGTCATACAATAACAACAAAAAAGAAATGTTTAAATTATTTTACTTTAGCTCTTAGTATTTAATTCCATTTAATACTTCATTATTTTCTTTTGATTTATATTATTAAAGTAAGATAGAATTAATATTATTCTTGGACCAATGGAAAGCTGAAATTTTCTCAATGGATTTAACTATATGAGAGTATTTTTCTAATTCACTCCAAGTATATCCTTTAAATATTTAATTTTGTGACTATTAGTTATGATATCAAATCATTTAATCTTAGAATCCACTATTATGGTTGATGATTCTGTTGATACATATTCTGGTTAGATAATCTATGCATATGGAGTATTTAACCAAAGTTCTAGAATTAAGAGACAAAATTCAATATCAAATAGAGTGGAATATTATATGAAGGTAAGAATACCTTAGTCATTTTCAATCAATTTTCGTTAGATTGTGGAATTTAATTCAAATATAATAATAACATTTAAGTGGGATTGATGTATAAGAATACTTATTTAAGGAATTTAAGTAACTTATTTAAATA